GAGGGTAGGGGTGAAAAAATTGAAATTAGAAATATTTTTTAAAAACAACTTTTAATATTATTTTTTAGAGGGTGGTGGTGGTAGGGGGCTAGGGGTAGGGTAAAAAAATTGAAGTTAAAAATAATTTTTAAAAACAAGCTTTAAATATTGTAATTTGAAGTTGGAAGAGAGTTTTGGAAAATGTAAAATGTTTTCAAGTTTTGAAGGGAAGTCATTTTCAAGGAAAATGAGTTCATTTGGAAAACATTTAACCCAACCAAACATGAGAAAATTGAAAAACATTTTCCTTCGTACCAAACACACCCTATATACTAGTCAAAATGTTGCTTGGTTTCTGTTTATGACCAAAAGATCAGGACAATCAAGTGTATTTGCTTTAGGCTGGAAGAAAAAAGCACTACATTGTCCATATTATCCAAGGGGTAACCTATTTTTTTTTCGTGTTAAATATGGGTGGATCAGATATTTTATCTGTTTTTACCTGAACCATTTCTGACCCACCCATCTGCCACCCCGAGTCTACATGAACCAACCAGAAAACAGAAACAAGTGATCCAAGAAAAACATAGTATCAGGTATGCTGAAAAACTTGTTATCCTACTAAACTGAAGCACAAACACCAAAGGTGACCTTAAAAGGATTTCTGAAGTATGTTGTTGACCAAGACACGGTAGTATAATTGCAACTTCTATGCTTGTATACCAGTCTTTTAAGTATTTCCATTATTGGAAACAAAAAATGAAATAGAAGATTATGAATAATAACTAGAGGTATTCTGCATTATGTATGAAACATTCGATATACTAGAAGACTCAGCTTCTGCGTTTGCTTGTTGCATTTCTCTAGTAGGATGGTAAAGTGACACGCAACAATCACGGTGGCCATAAAGGATCAGAAGTAGAACATGACAAGGTTCATTCTTCAAGCAACAGTTTGGACTGCTCTGTCAAAAATTTCTTCAGCAGAAGCTGCACGCCCAACAAGCATGTGATCTGGATGTGATATTTTCAACTGGCTGCAAATAGCAAGTCAAACAACGCAGCGATCAATCAATTTGTCCTCCTTTCATGCTAGATGTCAAAATTCACACAAGTGAAAAAGGGAGGGGCTCTGAATCTGCCTAAACTCAGGAGCACATGAGACTCCAAACAAAGAAAATGAAGACACTGAACATTCTGGATTCAAATAGGTTGGTGAAATGGAAAAAGATAACTCAACTTTTTTCTTAACTTGTATGCCACAACTTATTTTAGGAAGTTTTGGACACAAATCCTCCTGGCTCCTACTATACACATAATAGGTATCACACCTAAACTTTGATACAAGGATTTTCTAATACTGAAGTTTTACGGAATAGAAACCTCCAAGGCTGGATGAGGGCAAAACTATCCTGCTTAATTCAACATGGCCCCAGAGAATGGCATAAAGGGAGATCACAGAGAGGTGAGTGAAAAGTTGGCATATACAATCTAATTGGAAAATATATATATAGCCAAGGTCCAAACCAGTGAAATGAGATTACGTGCTGGCTTAGTGGCTTAAGCCTTAATATTCCAAATATCATGGAGAGCAAAAAGTAGGTGACAAACCAAACGTAACTATGAGTGAGAAAGGAAAGCATGAACTTTATCACTACTTTCTTTGAGTTCTATCAAGGCACCTTGAGAGAATTCACAAAAAGGAGGAGCAACTGATACATATGTCATACCTGAGATAGCGTGTGTATGGTTTCCCAAGGTGAAGACTGCAGACAACCAAATTGGCCAGCGTCTCTGAATCCTTTGTGTCCTGCATGAATCGAAAAGATTCTCTTCATTCTCCCAAAAATAATGGGCACAACAAGGCATCCAATGAAACCATTAAAGGCCAAGTAGCATAGTGAGAAAGACTTTCTTGAATGAAGAAATTAGGATGGGCATGCAGTATAATCTACAGAATTTGGTCATAAAAAACTTGATTGAAAATATATTAAGACTTCAAAAGAGACCTTGTTTAGGGCTTCAAGCAACAGTGTCTCAGCTTCGTCAAAATTCCCCATGTGCATGCAGCAAACAGCCTTCCCATTCAGGATTGGGCTTGTCATCTGGTTCTTCTCTGAGAAATCTTGGAAGATAAGATAAGCTTCTTGTATCTTTGAACCACCCTGATTCAAAGAAAAAATATTTATGAATATTCCCAATTTTTTTATCCCTGTTGTTTGGCAACAAAGAATTGGACTGGTGAACTACCACTGCCAAATTTAGCCATGCATTTGCAAGTTGAGTTAGGGTATGATCTTCATCCGCTTGTTGCATGATTCTCAACTGTTTCTCTGCATAATCGGACCTATGCATCTTAATGAATATCTGGACATTCAAAGCATGCCTGCAGAATACTCAAAAGTGAGAATATACTTGTAGAAGACTCATTTTCAAAGGATATGGGCAAACGAAATAAGTTTTTTGACCAGAAATTAGTTGAAGTAGAGACACATAAGGTTTCAGATTGAACAAAATTGCCTTTCAAGTTCCATAACTGAAGCAGTACAACAATCTACAGCTAGAAACTAAACAAGCCACAGAAAGTAAGAAAGAAGAGAAACAGAGAATTATTTTCCATGAATATGGAAGGAATAAAGAGTTATGTTTTTTTATCTCATTTAACTCCTGAGATTTTATTACATTATCCTACTTTGTTTTTATACTATAAAAGGGCTCGAATTAAATCCTGCTTTGTTTTCATACTATCACCATTTACATGGATTTTGAATCTTAGGTTACACATAAACTTCAGAAGTTAATAATTTACGATTTTATAACAAAACCACATTAGTTGCTCTAGAACACCGACTAAATGTTATGAGGTGATTTCAAACATGCATACATCGTAAGTTACCATATTCCCGATACTCAACCCTTTGATTGAAATCCATTTCCAGGAAGGGCCTGGAAGCTTGGTTAGAGGCACCACTTCAGATTTACCAAGTGTGCTAGATCACCTAATTTGGTATTTATTTCTTAAGTTACATATTAATAGTATAAAAGAATTGACTCCTATAATCCACATCAACCAAAATTTATAAAGAAATTTTATTATTTCAAGGGAAGGTGTAATACATCCCTCAGAATCCTCATAAAAATGTGGTTAGCTTGTGATTAAAAAAATGATTAAAGTTTTGACAAAGACATCATTCATTACCAAATGTTCAAGTATTTTAGTGTTATTCTTAATATACCTAAGGTGTGAAATAGATGTTAGCTACATGACTAAATTTTAGACAAGGCAACCTGGTTCTATTCCTATGTGGGTTTAGCCTATTCAAATAACGATGTCCTTTTGTAGTAAGACTATGTCAATTATTCTGAAAGAAACTAAAAACTAGCCCTCCAAGTCGAGCTAAGCTATGAAGTTTGAACTACCCATATAAAAAGAACCAAGGAAAGGTCAACAAATCGAGCATCAAAAAACAAAAAAATTGATCATCTATTGGCTTACACACCCTCAATTAAACTCAACGATATCCTATCATAAGGCTTTAATAATACTCGACCCAGCCCAATTTTGATTTCATTAAAGTGGATCAGAAATGGACAAGATAGAAAAGGGTTGATACTGTTGAGTACTTCTCTCTTTTGCAGGCTAAAAGATAGAATCGAATGAAAACTAGCATTTACAGAATCTTAAGCCAAACAAACAAATGCACACATAATGCATCATAAACCATGTTGTCACTCTCACCCCATAGGTAAGCTTCTAAAATATATTAATGAATACCATTATCGACTAGACAGCGTATTCAACAAACATGTACCCAAACATAATCAATACACATCTTAAGACAAACAACATCATGAAGATCCTTAACATGTTCCAAAATGCCAAGATGCAATAATAATTTTAGCAAGTTAAACAAATAGGGCGTGTGTTGGGAAGAAGGAAGACAAGAAACACATCCAAATGGTCATGTTGATTTTGACAGAGAGGTAACTCGAACCAAACAACCAAAACAGACAAGCATCGTCCTAAACGACAAATACAAAACAAGTAAAAGGAGATCAGCTGTCAGAATAAAATCAAATATAGAGATGCTGAAACACCAAAGAGAACCCTCACCATTCACTCAGTTGCTGATCCAAAATTTTAGGATTCCTTTTCTCCTTGTTATGAAAAGGACTAAATCAGCAAATGGAATAATATTTATCACAGCAATGGTGTCCAGGCCAGCTTATTCACTGGCCTGCATACATCCCAACATCACAGAAAATGATCCAATCAAAGCAAATGCTCAATTTTATGTATATTGTATACCAGCATCATGCACAATGGCTAAGAAATCAAAGATGAAGAAAGATACAACTCACAATTCCATCGTCCCTCCAGCATTTGTATGCTTCAAAGCTTCATTGTAATCCTGCTCATGCATGAATACAATCCCAGCAATAAGCCGTAAGATAGGATTGTTTCCGATGGCTGAATCTCCTAATAATTCATGAAGGCTTGTGATTACTGTTTCCTGCTAAAGAATATTTACTGATTAACAAACTTATATACCTGAGAGACCCTGAAGACAGTTGTATTTTTCCCCGGCAAAACCCGGAAAAACTGATGATATTAAATAGTCTTTACAGAATCTTCTAATTTAAAGCAAATGTACAATTAATTATACCAAATGGAGCAAACAACAAGGAGAAGTCAACCTTGCTCTCCATGTGAATCATGTGTTACATGAACTGGAGTACGAGTGTATGACATCGGTATGTATCCAACATTTCGCAAGCCCTCAATGCATTTCAATGAATCCACATGAAGTATCCATGCCAGTGTCATACCCAATCGACACAAGTATGTTAAGGCAAAACGAAGAGTCCATATAGCATATTTTCATCAGTAAATAGCATATCAGAATACCAATTGAACTAATTTTTCCATCCATTTAAAATAGACCATACAAGAATGGACATACTTGAGTTAAGCCCATCAAGTAATGCAAATAAATCCATCGTCAAGCGCAAAGGAAATGGTAAAATTGCTTTCTCTAATGCATTTGCAGCATCAGCTTTGGAAGTTGGAACTAAGAACTCAAAAGGCCTGGTCAAATAAAATTGTCTGGTACAAGGAAGATGCATTTGGACATCAATCTCATTTTTAATGTGTTCCAGATTCGATCTCCAACTAGAACTTATAGCAACATTCCTCAGTATCCTATCTAGGGGAAAGGGGGTATTATCCCCCATATGTTATTGTGCCACAATGATAGTTTACTCCTTTAGGTTTAGATATAAATGCCCACCAATCGCACTGTTCATCTTCTTCTCTCCTCTTTCTCCTATTTGTTCCCCCGTCACTAAATTAGCTTATGAATTCCCCATAGATCCCTACTCATGTCAGCACCCTCCTCCCCTACTTTAACTTCCTTCTCCAGCTACTGTGATCCTCCTAGTCTAGACCACTATTCTCCCTCCCTCTTCCCGGCCTACAGATGCTGCAACAATCTCCCCACCCCTTGCCTCCTTCGGTGCAAACCCTTCTTCAAAATCTCTGGAAAGCCTGCTTCCCCGTTAATCCTTCAGATTTCTTCTTTTAGTTTTTCTTTTTTAATTTACATTTCTTGAAGCATTTTTCCCTGGTTTTTGAATTTCATCTAGGTTAATATTGATTTAGTGTCACTTGATGACCTGTTCCATTCAATTGGATGAAAGATCAACAATTCAATCAAGTTGTATTATACTTCCAAATTCAAAGAATAAGTACAATAGTGCCATAGTGGAACACATTAGAGACTAAAATGCTTATTCAATTTCATCCAAATACTGCATTGAGTTAATGAATGGATATCTGGTTTGTTTAATTGGTCCAATGAAGTGTTTTCAAAGGCGTTTTTGGGGCGAGTCCAGGTCAGGGCATACCAAAAATGCTTTGAGGCCCAAATGTAAGGTTTAGATCCATAGGGCTTACGCTCTAGAATTTGAGGTGTAAGCCCCAGGAATAAACCAGGCATAGAAGTGTAAGCCTCACATGTAAAAATAACGGTCCGAGCATTAAATTTGATTTCTGTTATTTTAAAGGTATTTTTGCTATAGATCATGTTTTTATTACTGGTGTAATGATATTTATACTTTATGCTTTCATGCTTTCATGTTGCAGTGATTTCTTAAAATATATAAATAAAGCTCTCATAAAAAATGATACTGTCATAAATAGTTTTAGATGATCATGCAAATTGATAAGATAGAGATTTCAAAGCACTATGTTCCTGAGGCAACTTAAATTATTTTTTGTCATTGCTCTTACACTTTTTATCCTTCTCCTTCTTTGAAATATATAATTAAAAACCAGTGCAACTATTAGTTGAGGGTGAGAAGGACTAGTAGATGTGGAGATTTGATGATGAAGTGGATGGTGATTTCATTTTAAAGATTATTTTGACTGTTATCACTTTTGCCTCGTTACCTTTCCCAAATAAAAATTATACATTATTTCTATATTATAGGTGATTTATTTGAACATATTTGCAAAATTATTGAACATTTTTATTTTTACTTATTTTCTAAGTAATAAAATTATAAAATTGAAGATACACAAGACCTACGCCCCGTAGAACAATGGGACTTACTCCTCGCCCCGCGTCCTTGCCTTTTAAAACATTGATCCAATATATAAAATGTGAGCCACAAATAACTAACAATTATACATGTAATTCTCTCATATAATCCAGTCCAAAGGAATGGGTAACCTACATTTATCCCATCCAACATATCAGACGACCCAATAATCAAAATCGTATCAGTGAAAGCTAAACCAATAACTCTATCCCTATTACCTGTTAAGCCAAAAAAAGAAAATCCTAGATCCCTCCGAAACCTCAACTCTATTTCAAATGCATCATAGATCTAAGATCCATACCTACTAAAACAGCATAACTGCGCATACCAAAGAACACAAAATAGAGAACAGTTTCAACCAATTTCACTTGAACTCACTGGAAAAGAGCAGGGAAAGAATAAAAGGAACATAGATAGAAATGAAAAATAAAAACAGTAAAAAGAGGAAAAAGATCACCTTGTTATCAGGGCTAGAAAGGTACAAAGCAAGCAATTTGACAGCTTGAAGAGGTGTAGCAGCAGAGTCATCAATCTCATTGATCACAAGCTGCAACATAAATCACAACAACCATAATTCAGTTGCAACCTGGGGAAAATTTAAGAGCAAAAATTGGGGCATGTGGACTCTGTGGTAAGACTAGGTATTTTTATGTATATATTTATAAAAATTAGTACTTATAATATTATCGTTGGCATCCATATATGCCCTTGATCGAAAATTGAGCTATATACCTAGAGGATTAGTGTTCAATTCCCACTAAATATATATTTTCCTTTTCTTTTAGTGGTGCAACCATGTTCCAGAAATGGCAGAACGGCCACTGATTACAACAGATGAACAATTCTCCATGAATAGAGAAGCAAACATGAAAAAGCAAAACGAAAACAAAAATCAGAAGAAGAGGCAAAACCTGGTAACTGCCAAGTGCAATGTAAGATCTGTAAACAAGGGTGTCCCTTTCGACAGCATCGTCAGCGGAGAGATTGGGTACATCGCTGTTGTTAATGGCTGCTTGGTACGCCCCTATGTAGAAGTTGTTTCTCAATCCGAACAATGGGTCTGGTCCTGTTGACGCCATTTTTGCTATCTTCCGGTTGGGAACGTTTTCTCAAATGAACTCTCTGCTCTTGTTAGATTCAGATCTCAAATGCGTTTGTAGGGAAGAGAACAGTTATGTAAGTTTTTTTTTTCTTTCCAAAGGAGCAAATGCCCAAGTGTATTTAGAAGGGTTGGGAGAATGAATTATTGGTGACAAAAAAAGTGTTTGAAATGTAAAAAGAGTGACTCTAGTTTTAATTATTAAGTAGGCGTTTGACCATGCAATATCATATCACGATATGGTATTATGAGATGGAATCAGCGTTTGGACATGTGATTTTACGTTGATTCCATCTCATGATTCCATATCATGAGAGGTGATATCATATTCTCCAAAAATCATGATATGAAATTATATGGTGATTCCATATCATGATTTGAGATATTTTAATACAATAATTGATCCGTGAGTTTATATTTTGTTAAAACAACCCTATATTTATATCTACTAACCATTTGTTTCATATGTAAATAAATTTATAATCACA